GAGCCCCTAGTAGCGTCCTTGCTCCTAGTAGCGATGCCAGGAGCCCCCAGTAGCATCCCTGCTCCTAGTAGCGATGCCAGGAGCCCCTAGTAGCGTCCTTGCTCCCAGTAGCGATGCCAGGAGCCCCTAGTAGCATCCTTGCTCCTAGCATTTGTTTGTATTCGCAGCAGGATACTTCGCCAGGGCCAGGGTCCATCGCCTTTGGAAGTCATGAACACTGTTCCAGGCCCATCACAAGCCAAGACCTAGCGATTGCTTTCGCCAAAATGGGGGCCGGAGGTGATCCATCAATAGATGAAATGCTTTAAGTTAAGTTAAAAGTTAATGCTGAGCAGTTATAAAATAAAGTAGGCGACCCCGATCCAAGACCTACCTGACAAAGGACTGCAAAGAAAGAGTTCCGGGCATGCAGTCTGCATTACTGCAAGATACTCTTTGGAGGAAACAACAACACTATGAAACCATTATTATAGGTGAATATTTCTGACAAACCGGTGCTTCAGTGCATGAAACAATGCAACAATGCAACGCATGATTAGAATCTGTCCGGCTCATCTCTAGCGCAGCATTGTACCTCTCTTTCACGCATGAGGCCGTCGGGCAGCAGTCCTGATCTAGGTGCTTTGCTGCTTAAAATACATCCAACATGGCAGTAGTGCATGTCTCAGACTCTGATGAGCTACAAACAGTAGAACATCTGCCAGAACATACATGCGGTACAAAACAAACATGTCGTCAGTTGCAATGCTGACAGTGAGATGACTTCCCTGACCCAAGAATCATGGCTCCTACGCAAAGATAAGGGAACCGTCCTTGGGGCAGAATTCCTTCGGGACTTCACACGAGCTGTCTGGGCATAGCAGTAGCAAACCCATGCGTTGCATCGCGGCGCGAGTGAAGCGCTTGGTACTGGAGTCCTCGGCTTCAAGTCATCGGTGATGGTACCACATGCCGTGCAGCCTACAAATCACTCTTGTTTTGCATTGTTTCCGGGCAGCATCAAAAAGAAAGCCTTCTGCATTCAACCTTGAGAAATAGACTTTGGCCAAAGTCTCCCCAGCCAGGGCTACGCTCGACCAACCATTCTTTGTGGACAACTGAGTATTGCCTGTCATCACAAAGTCAGTCAAGCCAGGACAAAGCTACAGGTATATGTGCATGATGTATATACACAAATGTAAACGTTGCACATGATCATTCATCATTCATCTACCAACTCATCTCTCTTTTGCGTTGGCCTTCAGGCTGGTCCTCGACGGTGTGGTGACCTTGGCGCTTCCAACATCGGATGCAAAGTCGAATACAACACGTTCAACCATTGATTTTACGCTGTGAAATCCGGGTACAACAGTTTTGGCTCTTTGCTCTCCCGAAAAGGACACCTTTCCTTGCACATCTAGGGAAGCCCACCGCGTAGGAAGCTCCGGACGACCGCTCCGGACATGTCGCCTGTGGTCGATAAGCGCCAGCCCATAAGGTAGGCCGGGTCATAGCCGGGCACAGAGGCCAGATCCAAATACTTCTCCTCAGGGGTGGACCACATTCCACAGAAGGGAGTTGCACAGCAACACAGCGGCAACAGGGGGGAACAAGCAAATGTGTCGGAGAGTTCTGGAGTGTGCTGGCTAGAGAATACTAGAGTTATAAAAAACTTTCATATGGTAAGGCCAGAATCCTTGATTTACAAAAAAGTCGGAAAAAAACACAAAAAAAGTCAAAGTCAAAAAACGTCAAATTGAAAAGTAAAAAAAAGTCAACCATAGACCACGGCTCGAAAAAGTCAGACACAAATCAAAAAAGTCAACTTCAACAAACAATTAGAAAAAGTCAAAAAAAGTCGAACCATGTTAAAAAAAAATAAAGTCAAAACAGGTCGAACAAAAAGCGAACCAAGTCGGATCTGGGCAAATTGACTGTTTTTTATATTCTCTGAAACTTTCTGATTTGACTTTTTTGACTTTGACTTTTGGGATTGAATGTGTGTATTTTTTGTTTTTATTTTTAGCAACTTTGAAAACAGGCTCTTTCCAATGAAACCCTATTTGCACATACAAAGTATGTATATAATATATATATATATATGATATGTATGTTTAAATTATGTCTGCAATCATCTGAAGGCATGAACGCGCATCAGCTGGCCTAGTTTGGCCCCAGTCTGCAGGTCAAATGTTCGCAATTCTAATTACAAGCTTCTTGTTTCTACTAGCTTCTTGTTACTAGTAGTAAGGCACTTGTTACTAGAAGCGATGCCAGGAGCCCCTAGTAGCGTCCTTGCTCCTACTCCGGCAAAAAGTACAAGTAACTCACGATATCTCACAGTATCACAATCAAACATTGCAAGTTTATATCCTTGACAAATATTGACAAACATGAAAAGTCAGGAGCATCTTCTGATGCCGCAAGCTCAAACTCATTCGACACCGCATACCAGCACCAACGAAGAAGAAATGCATTGTAGAGGACGCTACTAGGAGCGAAGGGCATCGCTGCTAGGGCCGCTAGGGGCTTCTGGCCTTACTCCTAGGAACAAGAAGCTATTACAGTAGAAACAAGAATTCAATAGACGCGAAGCTACGCATCCCATGTCGCATCCCACGGCGCGAAGCAATGCCACTGCCTGCGTCTCAACACGAGCTATGCGGGTGGATCTGCGGATCTCTGCGGCCGGGGCAGGCGCAGCCGGGAGGGGCTGAGACACAAGCTCTTCTTCAAAAGCATCTCCTCAGGAAGCTTGGCGAGCCAACCTACTAGCGATGGCCTCCACCTTACGTAGTAGCGATGGCCTCCAGCCTAATAGCAATGGCCTCAAAAGCATCTCCTCAGGAAGCTGATAGACATCCTGCGAGAGCGACATTTTGTCTTTTTGTCAGCTGTTCATTAAGTAAATTTGCGGAAAGGCTAGGTGCCAGTCAAATGAAGGAGCCAACCCTCTTTTGCACCAGTGTATTAGTGCGATTCAGTTTCATCCAGACTCGAGGATGTGTCGTCCACTTCAGACGGCATCTTATCACTTGGAAGTTTTACCAGGTTGTATGCTCGGTCTTCTGCTTCAATCTCATCGATGTGCTGGCCCTCCTCCTTCATTGCATTCTGTACGATGAAGCGGTACCATGCCCTTCCCACAAAGACGGAGATGAGGATTCCAACGAGACCAAGCAGGAGCGAGAAAAAAATGAGGATTCTTACGTACCCAATCATCAAGTATGGCGGACAACCTGAACTTGCGCTTGTGCTCTTCACCCACTGATGCCAATGTGGCGGACTTTGTGGTCAAGATCATGTCGTAGGCAGTCTCAAATGCCTTGTCCCAACAAATGCCAACTAAGAAGCCGAAGCCGGCAATGGCCGCCCGGAGAACTTTGGGAAAGTCAGCATGCAAATCAAAGAGGCCAGAAGCAGCAGAAGCAGTCGAGTCAGAGCGTTGGACTTGTGATGTGCTCGCATCCCTCTCTGCATCCTCAACGGGATGTGTACCAGAAACAGTACCCCGATTCTTAGATTCTCCTTAGAAGGAGATCTTTCACCAAGTGGGAACATCGAAATATATAGAACATAGAAGCAAAGGAAGGGTCTGTGTTTAGGAGTCCAGGGCATGTACTGGCTGGAGGCTATGAGGCTCAATGAGGCTAGGTGGTTTCTATAAAGACTTCATGGAGTGCAATAAGGTTCGAACGATTCTCACAGGTGCGGTAAAGAATACAAATAAACATTGAACAAACAGTGTCCAAATGTTGCGGCTTTTGCTACTGTTCAAAGTCCGCTTAAAAGGCTTCAACATTCCGAGCGCTCTCACTACCAAAAGTACTTTCAGATCTTTCAGTGCGCGCTACTACACATGAGTAGCAATGCCAGGTCCTGCATTTCCATCATTTCCCAGTCCCCGTCATGGCAACAGGGTTTGCCCTGAAGCCGGTCTGCGATAATATCCATGACCACCATGAGCACAACGGCCACCACAGACATGACCAAAGCATTGAGAAGCGTAGCGCGGTTGGTCGCTTGGGGGTCGTTGAATGGGAGCTGCTCAATGGCCCGCGCATATTGTGCCTTGTTAGTGTTCCTGGTGTTCCAGTAGTCCTTTCTCACCTTGCAAATGTAGTAAAAGCCAATCAAGCCACCCCTTTGCAAACACCAACAGCCAGTCAAAGATGCCAGCTTCCCCACAAATTCCAAGAAGAAGGAGAAACAAACTGTCCCTTTCCTGCATTTTTTCTGGCACTTGATCGACCAACATGCAGAAAACCCAAGCAGCAATAATGCTAGAACTGCTAGACAAACAACTAGCCTCCAGTCACTTTTCACGGGATGCCCAGCAAGGATTGGCATGAATTTCTTCTCTTCTCGCGTGTCTGTACTGCCCACAAAGCAAATGGTTTGCACCAAAAGAAATCCGATCACAATGGCACTCGCCTCACCCTGCATCTCCTTCAACACATGGATTTGCTGCTTCTGTTTCCACTTCTCGGGACAATGTCTCTTGGCGAATGAGAGGACTCCTCCATAGAGCAACACCAGGAGAGTGAAGGCCAAAAAGGCCACCGCTACAAGCCATTCCCAGCATGGATTGTACTTCTGAATATGTCCGAAGACGATGATTCCTGCAAAGGCACAAACGTGCCCGCCCAGGTTGCCTCCTGCAAATAGAGTGCGATGATTCTCCTCTGTGAGGAGAGACCGATGGAGCCAGCTGAAAAAAGACATAGCCAAGACTGCGACAATGAGGATGACCCACCACATGTGTAAGACCTCCTCACGCTTTTCCTCCACCTGGATTAGGTCTAGCTTATCCCCTTTCAGATAGGTCTGGATCTTGAGGATGATGGTGGTCAAAACCCGAGTGAGGCCAAAGTCAAAGCTGCTGGCGCAAAAAATGGAGATGGTGGTGTTCACCAAATCCCAGCTTGCTCGCCGGATATCCTCATCATGACAATGAACCAAGTAGACCACGCCAGTGGAAATCACAAGGAAACCAATCAATGCCAAAGCTGTGGTCCAGGTCACATCATCCTGCTCAATCTCACCTTCCTCTTCCCCCAGCGCGGAAGACCACAGCATGCAAAGGCCCACGGCTCCAAGCTGCGCCATGACCCGCAGCAGTTCCGTCCCGTCCGACGCGTCTCGACTTTGGAGACTCCGATTCCGGTCGGATCCACCGGCCGGATCCGGCCGGCAGTCCTTGATCCCCGTTGATTGGCCGTTGATTGAGACATGATGAAAACATCACTTCACCATGACATGGCATGTGAAATTAAGAATGAACTGCCAGTCGACATGAACAGGTCACTTCCTTTTTGGAGGGTCTAATTGTTGTATTCCTATATGTATTCCTTTCATTTCTTTATCGCCTTCCCGAAAAATGAATGCGATTCCAAGTGGCCACAACATTCTCGCGGCAGATGCTGCCGTGCTTCCTTGGCGCAGGCGGAAGCCGCAGGTATCGCATCGCAGCCCAAGAGCGTCGCCATGAAGTCACTCGGTCCATGCGCAGCTGCGACTCTGCCCTTTCACTTCGGTCGTTGGTGGTGTGGTCCCCCAAAGGAATTCTGAAATCATCTATCTGGCCATGGGAGCTCCGCTTTGAAACATGTAATGACAGTAATTGACAGTATAGGTTTCTCTACCTGGCTTTGTTTGTTGAAGCTGTGCTTTTCATCACAGCCAGTATGGCCAGTGTGTTGTGGTGATGCCGAAGAATCAATCATACACCAAAGCCACCAGCTGAAGCTTCAGAATCAATCATGCAGAGTTCATTATATAAACTATTGCAGTATTACTGGCTTAGAGGGGTAGCGGGGGAATAATGAGTATTGAATAAAGCCCTGAACCTGGTTACCAGGTTCCATCCACTTGAACCGGACACTTCACCGAGATTTTGAGCCTTCGGTCCGACATGAAATGCCATCGGCTTGCACCTACCAGGCTTAGTGTTCTTCTTAGTGACTTAGTGTTCTCCTTGGTGCCTATTTCTCATCCCACAGTCCAGCGGCCTCACCGCACTGTCAATCCCGCGAAAGGTTCACACGCACTGGTGCCTAGTAGCTTCTTGTTACTAGTAGCAAGAATGCTCCTAGTAGTAAGGCCAGGAGCCCCTAGTAGCTTCCTTGCTCCTAGTACGATGCCAGGAGCCCCAAGTAGCAATTTGTTTCGGGGGAATCTTCACCACCACATGTCCTCTTGGGCACTTCCCAAACTACCCTCCACCAGTGACAGGAACCTTCGGCGCGCGCGCGCGCCTTGATGACAGATCTCCGTCTTTCTTGAGTGTCGTCTGGTCTCGTGGCCTGACGATGCGCTTCTCTTGCACGACTCTCTGAGGCCTCTCTTGAGTGCTTTAGCGACTTTAGCGATACAAGGATGTGGAAGTCTCTCTCGCACAAGCTGCTGGAGGATGATCGATCAAGTAAATACCGGGCAGCTTCTGATTGGAAAGCAAGCAAAAGCTAGATTCTCTTCTGGATCTCGCTTAATTCGAAGGGGGAAATACTAATTCACTTCACATATTCATGTAGTCGTTCAATTGTGACTTTCCGCCGACCCCGGTTGAAGCAAGGGGGAGCGCGTCAGGGAATACGGAGTTGCCGGGGGTGTCCTACCCTCCGCCTGTGCCAAGGACAACTTTCCAGGGACACAGTGTTGAAGGGAACATGAAGGTTGACGATGTCCATGCTAACATTTTCCAGGGACAGAAGGTTTCAGGACACAGGAGCACAGGGTTCAAGTGTTCGGGGATCCAGACGATCCAGAGGAGAATGGAAACCGGAGTTGCCGGGGGTGTCCTACCCTCCGCCTGTGCCAAGGACAACTTTCCAGGGACACAGTGTTGAACGGAACCTTAAGGTTGACGATGTCCATGCTAACATTTTCCAGGGACAGAAGGTTTCAGGACACAGGAACACAAGGTTCAAGTGTTCGGGGATCCAGACGATCCAGACGAGAATGGCAACAAACTTCTTTTTTGTCTAGGGATTCAGAGGCAGCGTGTGGCAGCGAAAGGGCAACCAGGGGAGGCTCGTTTTGGACCAGAATTAGATGGGGAAAAGCTGTGGCGGCGCCAGGTGTTCGGAGCGAGGATGGGCGCAAGAGAGGAAAGAAAAGCGTGATCACAGGAGTTTCGTTTTGGATCAGAATTAGGTGCAAGAAAGGAAAGAAAAGTCTTTTGTTTGATCTATTTATTTTGTTTGATTTATTTATAGGGATTCAGATCGAGGGGGCGTTTGACATCGAAAGTGCGATCAGGGGAGGCTCGTTTTG